AGAGTGGGGTACAACACATAATTACTTTTTACCCTTTAAAAGTTACCTTCAAGCTGACCATTACTACTAGCATTCCAAACAACATTTGGTATACAAAAGGCTAATGATTGCTGCAAAGCAGAGGTAGAGTGCAGAGTAGGAGAAAAACAAGCAAAGTTGTTGTAAAATTTTATACATAAAATAAAAGAAATTAAAATAAGAACAAGAAATATTAATGTTAAAATTGACTAATTCAAAGTTCTAAGAAATTAAAAAGAATGAGGTTCTCCTAGTGTGATAGAACAATGTGAAGGCTTTGTTGTTGGCAAAAATGCTTCAAATGTTGCCCATAGACTTTGAATGTTCTTCCATCCACCAAATTCTTTAATAGCAAAGCATTATGAAGGAAAATTTTGAGTACTTCGTAAGGCCCTAGCCAACGAGATCGTAGCTTCATAGGAAATAACTTTAAACGATAGTTAAATAGCAAGACTTGTTATCCAGCATGGAATTGTCGCAACAAGATATGTTTGTCATGTCACTTCTTGCTCTTGTATTTTTAGATTCGAGCACTCTCGTAAGCATCATTTTGGAGGCCTTATAACTCATTGAGATTCAACATGTTTTTTCTCACTAGCAGAATCAAGATCAAAGTTTAGTTTCTTCAATTCCCACATAGATTTATGCTCCAGTTCCACGGGTAAGTGGCCAGCTTTGTCATATCCAAGGTGATGGGAAAACATTCCTAATGGGGTTTTGTAAGTTGTTCTATAAGCTCATAATGCTTTCTCAATACGTTGAGACCAGTCTTTTCGAGAAAAATTAATAACCTTTTCAAGAATTTATTTGATCTTACGGTTTGAAACTTTAGCTTGGTCGTTGGTCTGTGGATGATATGTTATAGAAATCAGATACTTAATTCCATAACGATTCAATGCTGTAGAAACTTGTCTTCCAATGAACTGAGAACCTTCATCACTGATAAATGCACGAGGAGTTCCAAAACGAGTGAAGATGTTTTTTTAGAGGAATATAGAATCGCTTTAGCATTGTCCATTGGCAATGCTACAACTTCTACCTATTTTGAGATGTAATAAAAAACAACCAAGATAAAAAGGTTCTTATATGATGAAGTGTATGGTCCCATGAAATCCAACCCCCATAAATCAAACAGTTTAATTTCCAAAATAGGTTGCATCGACATTTCATTATTTCAAAAAATGTTGTTTGTTCATTGACAACGATCACATTGCTTAATATAATTATTAGCATCATTAAACAACGATAAGAAGCATAAGAAGCATCATGACAATGATGTATAATGTTATGTTGCTTATATTCAGTGACACATCTCCTTAGAATTTGATCATTGCATTGTTTGGAAAAAAATATGGTACCTCCTAGTGATATTCTCTAACATCTCTCGTGAATTATTTTCTTCCTTGGTAATTAAGATCAAGTGGTAACATACCACTCACTAAATAATTTACAAAGTCAACATACCAAGGTAATGACATAGCAACTAACAGTCTTTCACCAGGGAAAGCATCTGAAATCACTAGTATTTTTCCATCTTCACTGTCTGATTCCAGTCGAGATAGGTGATCAACCACTTGGTTCTTAGACACTCTTTTGTCTCGAATTTTAATGTCAAATTCTTGGAGTAAAATCACTCTTCAAATCAATCTTAGATTAGTGTATTTTTATCAAATAAATGCTTCAAAGTCGAATGAACGGTGTAAATAATTACCTTGATTCTAAGTAGATAAAAGCAAAATTCTTCAAAAAAAAAACACCATAGCAATCAATTCCTTTTCGATTGTGGTGTAATTTACTTGTGCATCATTCAGTGTCCTACTAGCATAAAGTATAGCATGGAACACTGTTTCCTTCCTTTGCCCCAACACTGCACCAAAAGCATGGTCACTAGCATCACACATTAGTTCAAAGGGTAAATTCAATTCAGTGTTACTATGATGAAGGCATTTACTAGCTTAAATTTTATTGTTTCAAAGGACTTGAGCACTTCATCGTCCTCCATGAATTTCTTATTTTGCTCCAGCAATGAACACAACTGTTTATAAATTTGGAAGAAATCCTTCATGAATCGTCAGTAAAATCTTGCATGTCTTAAGAAACTTCTAATAGCTTTCACATTAGTGGGAGGTGTTAGCTTCTCAATGAATTCCGCTTTAGCCTTCTCCACCTTAATTTTATGGCAAGAAATGTGTTGCCTTAGCATAATACCCATTGTAACCATGAAATGGCATTTATCCCAATTCAAAATCAAGTTGGTTTCTTCACATTGTTTCAACACAATGGCCAAGTTGTCTAAGCATTAATCAAAATCTTATCCAAAAACATAAAATCTTCCATGAATACATCTAGGAAGTCTTAGATCATATCAGAGAATATAACCATCATGCAACGCTGGAATATTGATGGAGCATTGCATATGCTGAATGACATTCTTCTAAATGAAAATGTACAATATGAGCAGGTAAAAGAGGTTTTCTTTTGATCTTTAGGGGAAATGGCTATTTGATTATACCCGCTATATCCATCAAGAATACAATAGAAAACTTTGGCAGCCAACCGTCCAGTATTTGATTAATAAATGAAAATGGGAAGTGTTTCTTCCTTTTATCTTTATTGATCTTCCTATAGTCCATAAAAATCCTCCATCTTGTAGTGGTACGTGTGGGCATAAGCTCATTATTATAATTAGTAATCACAGTGACGTCGTCTTTTTTGGAACGCGTTGAACGAGGCTCACCCAAGTACTATTTGAAATAGGGTATAAAATGCCATCATCCAACCATTTAATGATCTTCTTTCTAACCACTTCTTTCATGATCAAATTTTGCCTTCTTTTATGCTCTATTGAACTGCTATTAGGTTCTCCATCAATATTTTGTGCATACAAAATTTTGGGTTGATGCCTTTAATATCAGTGATGCTCTAAGTTATTGATCACTTATGCTGCTTCAGAATAACAATAATATTTTCTTCTTATGATATTGCAAGTTTGCTACCACAATGATTGGCAGTGTATCATTCTCACCAAGGAATACATATTTCAAATGTTTGGTTAAAGGCTTTGAATCAAGTATGGGTGGCTCCTCAATTGATGGTTTAGGAGTTGGAATATGTTGGTCAGGAAGTTGTAGAGACTCAAAATGATACATGAAATTGCCACAACATTCAACGTCCTCATACTCAATTAATTCATCAATTGTCACAACATTTCTAGTAACAACAATAATGTTGTGGGCTTCATCTAATTTCTCATACACAAAAACATCAATAACATCAATTGAATAGAATTTAACACTATTACTCATTTAAGAAACGTTATTCAAGACATTGAAAGTAATGTGATCATTATTTAAGTGCATAGTAAGTTCTCACTTTTCAACATTTATCAATGCTTAGCCAATGGCAAAGAAAGGTTAGTCAAAAATAATGGGAATATCCTTGTCAGCTTCGCAATCTAAGATGACAAAGTCGATGGGGAAGATGAATTTATCCACTCTCATAAGCATGCTTTTGACAATGCCACTCAGATGCAAAGTTGATCGATTAACAAGTTGTAAAGTGATGGTAGTAGGTTTTGGTTCACCACTTCCAAATTTCCAAAAAATTGTCAAGGGTATGAGATTAATGCTAGAACCCAAATCATATAATGCTTTACCCACAAAACTATCAGCAATAGCACAAGGAATAGTGAAACTCCCTGGATCTTTGAGTTTGGTGGTAATCTACTTATGGCCATACTAATACATCCCTGAGTGAGAGCAACTGTTTTGAATTCACCAAGCCTTTGCTTCTTAGAAAGGACCTCTCGTATAAATTTGATGTAGTTCAGGTTTCGCTCTAAAGCTTTCATCAACGGAATGTTTATTGTTAATTGGTGAAGCATATTAATGAAAGCTTTGTATTATTGGTCCTCCTTTATCTTCTTAAAACTTTGAGGTAAGGGCGGTGAAGGCATTGAATTTGGTTGTTTCAATGTTAGGTGGATTACAGACAACATTTTTGTTGGCCTCATTATTGGCAATGGCTCTGAATTATTGCACTTCCCTATTTCCCTTACTATGACATCAATAATATATGTCGTGAGGCCGACTCCTATATCCTTACCTTTCGCTTGTTGTTCAAGCCTCTCATTTTTCTTTTAAGACTCTTCAACATGTTCTCTAGTATGTATTCCACTCCTTGTTGTGATAGCCTTGCAGTGTTCATCTGCATTGAGATTTTTTATGTTGCTTAGGATTTCTAGTATTTCTAGGCAGTACTCCTTGTAGTCGATTGCTCAAAGCATTCGCCATTTGGCCAACTTGATTCTCTAAAGCCCTTAATGACGCAGATTGACTGGCGATGTACTCTTTCATTACATCTTTAAGAGATGAAAGATTGGTGGTTTGTGTTGAAGATTGTCCTTGATAATTCTACCTCTGTTGGGGTTGTGTAGTTTGTTGTTGTGTTTGATGCTACAACAATGGTTGTTGCTTATTGTAATGCTACGACTATAGATTGTAACATTTTGGCATCTCCAAGACAAATTGGGATGGTTCTGAAAGTTGGCATTGTAAGTATTTCCATAGGAATTATCATTCCTATTGTAGTTCCTCACATAATAGATGAATTTAGGATTTGGAGGCATTCTTCATAGCTATGATTTTCTCCATAATAAACACAAGAAATACTAGATGTTGACTTTAACTTATAAATTCCCAATGGCTTTTGCAACTTCTTTACCATGTCCGTCAATACTGAGATCTAGGAAGCCATATAATTGAAAGCTTAAGAATCTATCGTTGCAGCATTACTTCTACCAAACATAATCCTCGTGTTGGGGTATTTATAGTAATTGCTTGATATTTTTTCCAAAATATCATATGCCTCATTATATGTCTTGTCCAGAAATGCTCTATTTTTTTTGAAGCATCAACCACTATTCGAATGTGCATGTTCAACCCATTATAGAACATTTTAATTTGCGTCCAATATGGGAATCCATGCATTCGACACTTTCTCAACAAGTTCTTAAAATGTTCCCAAGCCTCGTACAAACTTTCATCTTCTAGTTGTTTGAAAGATGTCAAGTTATTTCGTAGCTTTGCATTCATATTTGGTGGATTGAATCACAGTAGAAATTTTTATACTAGCTTGTTCTAGGATATTATAGCACCATGTGGTAGCAATGTCAACCCAGCTCTAGCTTTTTTCCACAGTGAATAAGGGAACAACTTCAACTTTAATGCTTCTTTAGGAACTCATTATTGAACAAATGAATTACAAACTTCCATAAATACTCGAAGATGTGCTCAAGGATCTTTGATGAATGACCCACTATATTGCCACATGAACTACAACATCTAAAACATTACCTGTTTCAACTCAAAATTGGAAGCATGTATTATCGGTCGTACAATGCCAGGATGTAAATCATAGAGTGTTGTCATCACGTGCTCTCGAATAGGCCGATTATGATCATCCATGTTGTCAAATTTTTATTGTCCAACTTCATTACCAGACGACAATTCATCATCATCTGCATGTTGTTGCGGAGGTAGAGTATTGTTATCATTTCCAATGTTCATGTTTTCTTGATGTCTAGCAGATTCTCTTCGATGGTGATAGAATGTTCTTTCTATTTATGAATCAAAAGACTCTAGCTCGTTGTTACCACGAAACATAAACCAACAAAACTAATCAAGATAAAAAGTACCTACAAAAAGAAAAAAAATAAATAAGTAAATAATAAAACTAACTCTAAAACAAAATTGATGCTCCCCGAAAATGATGTCTAAAACTTGATGTTAGGATAATGCTATAGCATTCAACGCAAGTGCACGTATCATATCAAGTAATAAAAGTGGTAGCTTTTGATAGCTACGAGTGTCAAATCCCATAGGGAGCAAGCATTTCCACTATAGTTAGACTATCAATTAAAAAGATGTTGGTACTTAAGAGACAAGGTAGAAAACTATAAAAATTAGAATATCAAAGACAAGGCAGTGCTACAATATTCTGGAAAGCATTAAGTCAATTATCAAATAGATTAAGATAATAAGTGTCAACTTTTAAGACGATCCTACAATGAATCCTATTGTCATGTGTCTAGCAATGATTAAAAACATTTTATTAACAAAAAATAATCTTCATTAATTAGGGTAATCAAACTACTAACAAAGCTAAACAAATGGGAACATACTTCTCAACATAAAAAAATACTTCTAAGTAAAACCAATGTTGACGAAAGTACAAGAAATATTAACAATATATATTTCTAAAATATCATCAATAAATTATGCTTGAAGTTACTAATATTTCTAATAGTAACTTTAAAGAGTAGTAGCACATGATCATAGAATTCAAACATAATTCAAAATAAAAACATAAAAACCAAATATAATCCACAAGTTTATAATATCTCAATGTTACTTGTTATTCCCCTATCTTTAGCAAATTGCAAGCTTAGAACAATGATATCTTTGACTGTCGATGCTACTTGTTCTGGTGAGGGACTTAGGCTACCATTGCTTGATAAAGATAAAACGTGAAGAAGATATTTTTTGGAGGTGAACAATGGAATAGTCATTTGGCTCAACAATCCCTCCAATTTATAGGCTAGAAATCCATGAATGATTATAAGGGAAATTTTAGGCCCGCAATGTATGTCATGGTTCATGGTTATGAAATAAAGGGATAAATAAACCCAAACAAATGTTTAAGCGTTATCAAACCAAGTATTAATTCGTTATGTTGTCTTAAATCTTGTCTTGCTCGATATGAATCTACTTGTACGTGTAATTTATTTTCTTTTGATGTTCCATGATCTTCTTGTGAATTAATTCTGGATCTTTGAACCAATTGTACTAGCTTAATCTTGTGACTTGAAGCTCGACGAGTCACTTTTTTTGAAATACTTGATTTGTTTTCTCTCTTTTCCCCTTTTGTTCTTTTTTCTCTTTTTATTTTCTCTTTGTGTTATCACCTTGATTTGATCTTCGAACACCTCATATTTGGTTCACCATATGGTGTCTTATCAGGATTGATAGTCTTCACTCATGCGAGCGGATTCTCTTCACCTTGCCCCTCTTTGTGGAGGGTGATCATTGGTTAGGGTTGAATCAGAAGAAAATATAATTCAGGCTCAAATGGGGACAACAAGGGATATATATATTTTTCTTAGCAAAGGGATAATAAAAGAAAGTCATTCATCATTTCATATACGAAAGTCCTTGTAGAAGAGGTATCCCTAGGGGGATAGATTTTTAGGATTAATTTTATTCACATGAAAACAATGTAATTAATGCATGATAGAATTATTTCAAATTAATTTCATTTTTTCCTTCTTGCTGCTAGCATGTCTCAATTGCTTAGGCTCATATTCAAAAAGTTGATTCGAGATGTCCCACATTGTTTCTTCTTGTAGGAATGTTCATGTTAAGTGAACATCTTGTACTCAATGCCTTTGGGATTTTTTGGTAGAAAAAATGTCGATTTTGCGTCTAAGAAGACGATGGTGTGACTTTATTGGATCAATGAAAGGTAAGGGTATGACTTTTTTGTGTCTCGAAAAAGATTTAGGCAATATTTCAAAGTCTCTAAGAGAGGTAATGTCAAAATTTGGTCTTTTGGTAGTGACCATGAATTATTCTGGGTAAATAATCGATAGGCTTTATTTTTGGTTTTGGACAAGATAAGAAAGGTTTAATCTTTCTATGTGTTAAAAATCTATAATTCATTAAGAATTAAAAGAATTGTAAATTAAAATATTCAAAGAACTACAAGATTATAACTCGTTCAATTGTTCACAACCTTAGAATATAGCATAAGTTCAATCATCAAAAGATTTAAAAAATATTTAAGCAAATATTAAAGACAGAACAAAAAAGAGTTCAAACAAAACAATGCTCTTAATGCAAGTGAAAGAAAGCTTCATGGTAGATGCAATGACTTCTCGATCCACATCAGAATGCCCCATCATTCTTCGAATATCCATGCCCCTGAATAAATCAAATTCTGGACCTTGTGTTTCAGTGCCTTACAGTTCTCAATGGAGTGTCCTGAACTTCCTATGTGATATATGTATATGGCATCAACATTGTTGCCCTCAGGACATGGGGACTCTTTTGGCTTGGACTGAACTGGAGTCACAAGATTCTTCTAAACCAGCGTTGAAAGTAATTCCTCATAGGTCATTAGAATTGGATCAAATTGACTCTTTTCTCGGATCATCCTAAAAGGCTCAGCCCTACTACCATTTGAATGGCTCCAACTGTACTGATTTCAACTTCTTCCTGTAATTGTTCGAATCTTAATCCTATTCTTAATGTGGTGTCACCTGATTAGGACAACTATCATCGAATCCTCCACGAATTAATTCCATATTTTTATGAATGATGCATGTGAAAACGCTTAAGTAAATGCAGTGTGGAATGTAAATATGCAAATGCATATGTAAAAAGTGTTGATCCCAATGATAAATGTCATAGACTAATTTTCATCAGAGATAAAAATTCTTCACATCACAAGATAGTCCATTTTACAGACATGTTTTCGCTTAGACGCTAGGTATGAAATGGATTAATACTTTGTCTCGGAGCTTCGTCGTTGAAAATTATTCCCCTCAAGCGCTCTATAAACTATCTCGGTTAATTCCCCTATAGGGCTAGAATCATGTGGCATGCCTTGATGATTAATGGTTGAATAGTTGTAAGTGAAATCTCTACCATTATTTTACCTTCTCGGATAAAGGGATTACCTTTCGAGTCTTCGAGGTTGTTCTATTAGTTAACTCTAGTGCTCAATCTTTAAGCGATTTTCTTCCTCATTAGTAATCAGTGCATGTCTGTGTATGTGGCTACTTGATTGAAAACTTTTTTCTCTACTTATGAAAATTCTCACTTAAATATTCACTTACGGATCAACATTTTTGCATTATGTTCTAATGATGCAATGTAAAAAAAGACGAAAATGGCATAAAAATTAGGAAAAATGAGTTAGTTCAGGTAAGATAATCGAAACAGATAAAAGTGTTATTTAGAAATGAATATAACACCTACCCCATCATGGTATCTACCCTAGCATGCTTTTATTAAATAGCAATCCTACCCAGACATACTTTCTACCCGACATGCTTTTATTTCAAGAAATTGATCCTAACTGCATGGTAACTAGTTCATAGCTTTCATTCGAAAACAAATATATTTTATTAATTTAAAGCAAAATGTAAAGATTTAGAGTTGTTCCTCCTTCGTGTATGCTTATTTTGATACCTACTAACGAGCATAGGTTTTGTATGACTCTACCTATGGTAACCGTTCTACAGTTTACTACATGCATGGTTTCAGCTCTAATGGGACAAAGGTACTCGAATTGTCCTTTTTGCTAGTGCCCCCTTGGGCTACCAAACCCTCAATCCTAACCCATTACAGGTATAAATATATCGAGTTCAATTTGAGGGAATTCACTTCCTTATACCCATACAAGGAATAAATCCATACGAATATATAAGGTATGTGTACCCCAGAGGTTATTTAAAAAAGCTCATATTAAGAATAAATTCTTACGAGAGTAAAGCATTCACCCTACTTACTTGGGAAGAAGCTTGAGTATAGAGTCCATGTCATGTGAATGCATGTGATGTGTGTGAGGAGAAACATACAAACCTTTGACCCAAAAAGGAAGAAAAAACTCTTTATAGAAACCTTGACAAAGCTGAAAACATAGATTAAAACGTTAGTATGATAAAAAAATTAAAAGAATTTCATTAAATGTATCATAAGTTAATTATAGGCTCAAACTCATAATTTCTACCATTACGATAATGTATAAGTGACTTACAGCCTGACTCTCTAAAGTGTCCCCAGCAGAGTCATCAAGTTGTCATAACCATTTTTGAAAACTTTTTTATTTATATTTTTAAAAATAATTATGACTTAGTTAAAGAAAATTGGGATTTTGAATTAATTATTACGAATTGGAGTCACCATCAACCTTTGGGTTAGGTAGATTGAATACATAAAAATGTCTTACTTTAGAAAATATCATTTTAAAGACAAAAACTGGTATGTTTTACCAAAAATTTATTTTTAGGGATTCGAGAATC